AGGGAGGAATGGCCCATGCGAAGTTCGCTTCCTTCCCCCGAAAGCCACCTCAAAAAACCCAAAACCCTAAACAGTGCCCACGCTGGCCGTCTCACTTCCTTCTCCCCGACTCCCTTAACCCCAGATCCTAGAACCCCTAAATCCTAAACTAGGGTCCAGAAACCCAACGTAAGCCCTAAACCCGAAACTCCTCATTTGTTGCTTTGCTGTTGTTGTTTGGGGAGGGTCGGGGGGGGGGGGGGGGGGGGGCGTGGCTGTAGGGTGTAGGGTTTAGGGTTTAGGATTTAGGGTTTAGGGTTGGGATTTAGGATTTAGGGTTGGGTTTTCTTGGGGGCTTTCGCCCTCAAAAAGATGGGTCTTAGCACAGTCAGGAGCTAAACCTTAGGCCCTAAACCCCAGCGTTGAATACAAGGAGGGACCCCCCCTGGGCATAAGTAGAGTTCTAAGGACCCTAGATTGGGATAAGGATCCTAACTCAGGTTATAAGTCCCTGAACTTTAGATAGTCTAGTAGGGGGGGCCTCTCCTCGTAGTGTCTGGAAGCCAAACCCTCTGAACCCTCAACCCTGAAATCTCTTCATGAGAGCCGCCCGCTGGCTGGGTGTAGTAGACTGGGGTGCTCCACCTCAGCTGAAGTAGGCCATAGGGTTTAGGGTTTAGGGTTTAGGGTTTAGGGTTTAGGGTTTAGGGTTTAGGGTTTAGGGTTTAGGGTTTAGGGCAAGGCCTTGGGAGCTCTCTCGGCGTTTCAATAGGTTCCAAAAAAAGTCTGAGTAGATGCGAAGGCCTAAACCCTAAACCCTAAACCCTAAACCCTAAACCCTAAACCCTAAACCCTAAACTCTGAACCCTAAACCCTAAACCCTAAACCCAGAACTTGGCTGCACTTAGGAGGGTAGCTAAAAATTAAAATTTTAGCTGCCTTATTAAGAAACCCAATAAACCCAAAAAGGGTAAGGATGTAAAGTTACAGTAAAGCACCACAAAGAGAACATCAACTCACACCAAACGAACAAGAACCCAACAAAAACCCTTAACCGCAAAGGCCAAACGACACGCAGGCACGACGGCCCCGTGGGGTTTAGGGTATAGGGCTTAGGGTCTAGGGTTCAGGGTCTAGGGCTTAGGGTTTAGGGTAAGGATATGCATACGTATCTGGGATGGTCTTTGGTTCAAGGCAGCCTAACATACAGGGCCCACCCTGGGATGTTCTCCCTTATACTAACAGTCCAGTCCTTAATAGGGATTATGGTGCCATAGGGGCCGGAATAACTACTGATAGTATTCCCTTATGGACCCCTTTCATAAATATACTACAAGAACCCGCCAAAACCCTGTCCTAATGACTAAGCCCCCTATACTACCCCCTATTCTATATAATCCCTATTGAGGACTGCTAGTATAGGGTGGAACATCCCAAGGTCCACCCCCTGTGCTTCACCGCGCTTCGTGTAAAGATCCACCGCCCCAAGAAAAGGGGGGGCCCTCGTTTGGAGTTCCTGTACAAAACCCTAAACCCTAAACCCCAAACCCTAACCCTAAACCCTAAACCCCAAACCCCAAACCCCAAACCCCAAACCCTAAACCCTGCAAAGTGCAATGGAGAAGAAATTGATCCCGCCGAGGTGCCCCGGGTAATAGTAAGAGTAGGCGGGCGCGGGCAACCAGGGGGAGGGATGAGGTTTAGGGTTTAGGGTTTAGGGTTTAGGGTTTGGGGTTTGGGGTTTAGGGTTTAGGGTTTAGGGTTTAGGGTTCAGGGTTTAGGGTTTAGGGTTTAGGGTTTAGGGTTTGGATTTTGGGGTTTAGGGTTTAGGCTTTAGGGCGTAGGGCTTACGGTCCGTATGCCCTAGACCCCCTAAAGCCCGATGCGAATTCCTTGAGATGCTTTGGGTTCCAGTCTGGCGGTTGGGTAAGTAGGGTCTCGGACTCCGGGCTCATGTTGGCTTGAGGCCCCCATAGGGCTTAGAGTTTAGGGTTTAGGGTTTAGGGTTTAGGGTTCAGGGTTCAGGGTTTAGGGTTTAGGGTTTAGGGTTTAGGGTAGGTACCGAGGGAACCTTAGGGAAGCTTATGGAGCCTTAGGGGGTAGTGGGGAGTATTAGGGAACCTTGGGTTACATACCCCATTGAACCCCCCTCCCTTCAGAAACCTATAATTCAATGCCAAACATAAAATCATGCTTGCAGAGATAGGTAGATATGTAGGTATACCGGAATGGTTAAACCATGAGATGCAAAGATATACATCTACACGCATCTGTCATGTTTTTTCGCACTTCCTTGATTGAAATGGCCTCTTCTCTTACTCCTTTTGCGTACCTTGGGGACGCCCAAAACCCTAAACCCCAAACCCGAAACCCTGAACCCAAAACCCCCAAACCCCAAACCCTAAACCGGTCATTGCTACCCTGAACGACTGTCACGTGGGCAGGTGACATCACCGGGGGTGAGCGAACACCGTCGTTCGCCGGGCTGCCTCTACACAGAACCCCGAAAACTACTGCAAAT